CTTTGAGCGTCCAGATGGTTTAGCTTTGCCATGTAGCATCAATTTGTTGCGGCCTTGTACCGTTTCTGGCTAATTTCACGGCAGGACGAGAACAACATCGGGCGTCGCGTCGTGAAAACGGGTAAAAGGGGGATAAATGGGGAAGTGTCCTCTCCTGCATGACTTACTGACCACTGTGAAACGGTACAGTGTGTAATGTAACCACCAAACAACCATAAATCTGACCACGTTTGTCGAGGGCAGCCGTGAATTTCGTCAAATATTTCCACTGACATTTCGGAAGGGATCGTATAACTTAATGAAGTTGAAAACAAACAAGTAAACCAACTAATCATTATTAATTAATAATATTAGTCGAAATCTTGATTTAATGCTGTTTTAATTTTATCCTAAAAATGTATATCAAGAGACAAAAGCCATGTAAGAGTCATCATCATCATCATAAGGTCATCAGTCTTAAGACTGGTTGGACACGTACCTCCACTCTTTCCTATCCTGAGCTAAACTTCGCATTTCCCTAAAACTAGAACAGCCCATATCCTTAACTATTTGTGAAGAGTAATCTAATCTAGGCCTACCTGCACCCCTCCTAACTCCTGTTTCTGCCTCTAATATGTCTCTGACTAGACCTTTATGCCTGAGAAGGTGTCCTACCAACCTATCTCGCCTATTTTTTATTGTCTTCCATAGAGTCCTCTGTTCTCCTATTCTTTCCAATACCTCTTCATTTCTAACCTTTTCTACCCACGATATCCTCATCATCCGCCTATAACACCACATTTCGAACGCTTCTAACCTTTTCTTTTCCGCCGCTCCCACTGTCCATGTTTCGCACCCGTACAACGCCGTGCTCCAAACATACACCTTTAACAACCTTTTTAGAATTTCTAAATTAACGGTTCGCGAGCATAGAAGTGACTTCTTTTTATTAAAGGCGACACGACCTTGCGCTATCCTCTGCTTTATATCCCTACTACTCCTTCCATCCTCACTTATCTGACTTCCTAGGTATCTAAAATCAGCCACTTCTTCTAATTTTTCATCTCCTATCTTTATATTCGCTCTTCCCCTACTTTTTCTTCCCTTGCATACCAGTATTTTAGTTTTACTTGTAAGAGTGTAGTTGATTAATTCAACCAAAATTACAACGAACACTAGTCTAAAATACTTCGTTATAAAGAAAAAAAAAAAACGAGAACATTGTTTTCTACCTGCTGCTTCAATGAAAAACTAGGATACAATCTAAAAATTCGAGAAAAAGGATTGAGTTCGTAGGTTTGATGAAAACCTTTTACACTATACTATCTTAATTTTTGAGTATTTCATTATCATGGGGTCGAAATGTGGTTGGATACGCATCTCTATTCGTTTCTGCCCGAAGTCAATGTTCGCATTTACCGAAAACGAGAACACCACCCCATATCCTTAAATATTTACTAAAATAATCTATTCTAGGCCTTTCTCACAAATAAAACATTACTGATAGACACTTGACGAAACTACAGTGTGGCAACGAAATAACTATTGTGGATTTATCTACCAACAAAAGGCTTGTAACTTATTAATGTTGTAATTGTGTGTTCTAAATGTTGAGTTACAACAAGTGAAAGCTTCATCTGTACAATTATAAACATTTGTTTTGAGTAATTAGGTTATAGTTAATTAACGGTTACGAAACCCTGACGTATTTGGACCCGATTTGATCTTAATTTATTTGTTATTCCTAATGGTGTGCTGTTCGTATTCTAAAATATAAATCTTCAAAATTAGCATGTAGGTAGTTACGTTATAGTAGTGAACTGATTGCAAAGTAATGCAAAAATCAGTTTTTAAAATAGAATTTTCAGAAAAGTCTATTTCTGATTCAGTAGCTGGCTCGTCCTTTTCGAACACATGATTTAGATAGGAAAAGAAGATGCGAGGCAGAGGATTCGATGAAGTAGATGGTACTCCGTAGCAAAATAAGTCTTTACGGATTACCCACTGATATCAGAAATCGAATCGTAGAACATTTTGTAACGTAAATGTTTGCGATACGACAGTATGCATGCGCTCGGGATTGCATGCAGAAGCAACAAGACTGCAACGAAATGTGGCGAACAGACGGAAGTATAAAGAGGAAAAATGAATTTGCCTTCCAACGAAATTGCAACTACTTACAAAACACGAAAAGAAATTAATCATTTGATAAACCATTTTTATAGCACTTATCGAAATTGAAGTAAAATTGAAGTAAAATTGAATATGTAAACTATTATAATTTTAAGTACAAAAAGGGAGTTAGGAAATTTCTCTAATAGATAAGTGGATTTTATACGTAGCTATATACTTTATTTATTTAGAAATTCATACAAGAAAAATTAACAGTTTTGAAAATCCGTGGAATATTACTACCCTATTTCCCCATATGGTTCACGGTAAAAATTGAGCCTGGGCAAGCGCCCGAAATCGAATCGGTACCCTCTCTATGGTCTAAGCATCTAGACTATACCACTCGGTAATAAAATGAGGCAAAACTACCCTCAGGCTTTAGAATATAGGCCAGAGGAACTACCAGTCCAGCAGCGTTAGTAGTTAGTGAATATGAAAAATGCGCATTTTTTTTTCATGAAAACTGTCTGGGATAGGCCAGATTAATATGGAAACAGTTTGATTATGCTAGGTTAAAATTGAGTCAGTTTGGTGAGGTTGTGTTAGAATAACAACATTTTAACTGCTAAAAAATACTTAGTTTATTCTCGAAGAGGGGAAATCTTTAAAAGACACCTCCTGAGAGGAGGTAGTGTCGGATTTTTACCGCCTAAAACCCCTCCTCGAGTGGGGAGATAAACCCGAAGATTGTTCATCCCCGGGAAGGAAATGGAAAGGTTGGGGTTCGGAAGACGGTTGAGTTGGGAATAGGGTTGCGTATGGGGGGAGAAGGGAGTATTTGTGGAGTAAACCGTCGAAGTAGGTAGTCCACCTTTGAAGTGATGCGTACACTCGTGTTAAAAAGCGAAGCGCTCGGTGGACCAAGCGTTTTCGTATTTATATTGTTCTGGAGGCTAGGGGGAGTGGTTGAAGTTCCATGGTTGACTGTGTTCTGTTCAGCTGTTGTAGTTGTTTTTAATGCCAGTAGTTAGTTCTTATGTACTATTACGACCTCTTCTTTTTTATTGAAATTGTTTTTGTGTTTATATATTTCAATGGCTTCTCTGCACAGGAGGGAATGGTAACGATTGTTCTTTGCCAAAACTTGAAAGTCCTCGAACTGTATTACGTGTTGATCTTCTGAGAGGACATGTTCTCTGCTACTGCCGATTTTTCTGTGTCATAGGCGGCATTGGATTTTGTGTTCTTTTATCCTGGACTTTATACTCCTTCTCGTAGTTCCAATGTGAACTTGACCACAACTACGTGGGATACGGTATACTCCTGGGGTGGTTAACAGATTTCTTTTGTTTTTTGTTGATCTCAGGCTTTCTTCTATTTTGGTAGTGGACTTAAAGATGGGCATAATTTTCATCAGTTTTCCAATTCGTTACTCCTTTCATGTAAGGTAAAAAGGTTTTTCCGCGTAGGGTTTTCTCGTCCGTCTTTTTTTTTTTTGGCTGGAACGCTTCGTCTCATTGCTCGATTAATTTCTTGGTCTTTGTGGCTATTTTTGATTAGTTTTTGAAAATTCATTGTAAACATCATGACAAATTTAAGGGAGACGACTATGTGGGGTTGATTTGTTCATTAGAAATTGTAGCGGATATTTGGACTGTTGGGTGAAAATGGTCATTCGATTTTTGTTTGGATTATTTCGCGGTGCGGCGGTTCATTAAACAAAGCTTAGGTAATCGGATTGTAGAGTGGAAGTGCTCTGTAAGTTGATATGCAGCTAGCTGGACACGGAGCCAGGGGTTGAAGGCTAATCCTACTATAATTCACACATAATATACTGTTTCAGTTTATCATCACTAGCGGGAATTTATGGCTTTTATCTCACAAGGAGAGTGAGAGCGAGAGGGAGATAGAGAGGACCCGTGGTTTTCACTTTATATATTCATACATATGTATATAGTAGATAGCTGTGATATAAGCGACGACGAGAGGTGTTCTGTTACTCATGGTAATGCCTTGTAATGTATTGGACGTCGACAGTGCCCTTTTCGCCCTTCTTTTGCCTTGAAGCACTAGGGTGGATTGCGGACAATGTTGATTTAAGTCAGAAAATTTTTCAAATATTGTAACCAGAAACAAATTTATGAGAGCTTTTTTAACACGTACCTACCTACTTATACATCTAAACATGGACATACATTCTTTACGAAGAAATGTGATAAAAAAGAATAATATAATTAACTTAACAGCGACCTTTTGTTGTCTCGTTATTTCTTTCCTTCATTTAAAATTAAATTTTTAATCTTAACAATACAAATCTCCATTGCCACAAACATTTTTTGGAAAAGTGGAAAATGGTTAGTTTTCTAGTTCTGTATTTTACTTTTTGAACTGTATAAAAACACTATGCAATCGACTATAGATACACTGGACCATTTAAACAAATTGGTTATAAAATAGTAACCCTATATAAACTGAAATACTAGTTATCCAATAACTAATATTACAAATGCAAATGTGAGTTTGTTTCTTTGTTTACTATTCTTTCACGCCTTAATTACTCAACCGATTACCATGAAATTTTGAACACACGTCGTCAGGGGTACAGTGTAGGACATAGGGTATACCTTTTATAATATATATATNNNATATATACTTATTGTTAATAGCAATTAAAATTAATACATCAATACCTAATAGGTAGTGTAATTTTTCCTATCGTGTTGTTTCAGTTTTATCTGATTAATCGTAAGTATTTGTGTAAGTTATATTTACCCAAGCAAGTATGTAGGAACATACTCGACCTTCGTTAAAGACCTCTGTAAGACAACATTATCGAACTTGTTAAAGTTTAGAAACAAGCCTACCATATATATATATATTAACTCTTGCAATAATACTACTACTTTACAAGTGTTAATGATGACAAAATTTAGTGTTAACGAATTGGAATATCTGGAAGATGATCGGTTGAATTCTAATCCTATATTTACGAAGTCAATCGGCGGGTTCGTGAACTATGCCGGATTCACGTTAACCGGGAATTTTAAGAAAAAAATCGGAGAGATAGATGAGCTAGTGGTTTATGATGATGACGTTTGGGTGTGTACATTTCCAAAGTGTGGTATGTAGTAAATACGTAAATGTTTGTATCTACTGAAGAATTTTCTGCATTTTAATTTCAACAACATGAACAGGAACGACTTGGACTCAGGAAATGGTGTGGTTATTATTAAACAATCTTGATTATAATGGGGCTAGGAAATTGTTAAGCGAAAGGTTTCCTTTTCTAGAGTGAGTATTTTCTATTCTAGATGTGATTAATATCTGGAAAGTTGGAAAACTTTGCTGGTGTTATAGAACACTAAAAAGATCAAACTCCAATTCCAAAACACGACACCGAACGTCCGAAGTACTTTTAGTTACCTTGTTCTTCAGAGAACTATAAGAAGGTAACCTTGTTAAGAAAAAATACTTAGGATGTCCAGTGTGATGTTGTATGATTGGGTTTAAGGTTTTAGTGCGAGTAATATATGATAATTTAATTTCTAGTGACGCATTTCTAATTGACTGCGAAAAATTACCTCATTCTGAGATAATTTTGTCCAATGTTAATACCAAACATGATTCTCTTTATAAAATTAAAAATCTTGCAAGACCTCGATGCATTAAAACCCATCTACCGTTTCAATTTCTACCGAAGAGTATCAGAAATGGTACAAGCAGGCCGAAGGTTATAAATGAAATATTAAAAGAAAAATTTAGACGGTGAAAAAGTTCTTTATAGATAATTCACGTATCAAGGAATCCTAAAGACGTTTGCGTTTCCTACTACCATCATTATCGCCTCCTATTTGGATATAAAGGAACCTTTGAAGAATTTACAGAGATTTTCTTGGAAGGAAAAGGTACTTAACTACGTCAACCACAACTCCTGTTCAGAAATTTAAATTTAGAAAGATTTGGCTACTTTTCAGTAATTTATGGTCCATATTGGGACAATATTTTATCTTACATGGAACGATCGAACGAATCGAATATGCTGTTCTGTAGCTACGAGGAAATGAAAGAGAATTTAGCAGGTGTCATGTCTCGTATTTCGGAATTTTTGGAGATTGAGGTGCCCGAAAAGGAGATGGGTAGATTACTCGACCATCTCGATATTGACAGCATGAGAAAGAATCCGTCACTGAATTGTGAAGACGTAGCTCCTATATTAAAGTCGGTTTTTAAAGTAGACTATCAAGGAAATTTCATACGAGCCGGAAAAGTTGGAAGCTACAAAGAGGAAATGCCGGAAAAAAGCATACGAAAATTTGATGGTTGGATAAGAGAAAACCTGAAAAGAAGAGTCTACGAACAGATGGTGAAAGTGTAATGTCTAAAAATTATTATTGATGCGTGGTTAAAATAATATATATTTTTATACGAAAATTGTAACTGGTTTATATAAACATTAAATATATACTTGATATTTTCTGCTCAACTTTTATTAATAATTAATTTTTCGTAAAAAATCATTTTGGATTTACTCAATGAGAAGTATTTACAATAGAAACTGTAGATCTTTGTGACTTCAGTCAATGTTTGTAATACGTTCGTTACAATATAGGTGATTATCTACTATAAACTATATTATCCTACAAGTTTTAGCCTAATTCAGTGGTTATAAACCGTGTCTCTTTTTGTCAGTTTGTCAGGCTTTTAATTTAAAACAGAAGTGAAGTGTACATGAACAAATGTCGATGTAGCTGTAGCCTGAAAGACACAATCGAGAAAGGAACTTCCAACTTTTTGTTTCGGATTATGCTCTAGAGCGCGAGCAATTCTTTAATTTAGTAGTTAAATTAAAATCTGGACGTCCAATTAGAATCTAATGCAAGCGTTCTAATTAAAAACTGTTTCCGAGCGGGACCCGAGCCCTTCACTCCCGTTTCTATGGTGTTTTTGTATTCGGAAAATAAACAGCAAGGCAGCAAAATATTCAGATTTATGCAATTAAATCGTGGTTCGAAGGCTTTGCACTGTTAACGGTAATAATTAACTGTAATTGCAGAAGTAATACTCCTTGCGTTCTTCCTTCGTTAACTCACTGTATTGGCTTTGTTTACATGTGAAAAGAGATGACTTTTTTTATTAGAACGTTTAAAAAAATTGCGAACATCTGCGGTATTAAACTGGCACAGGACTGGAATAAGTCCAAAAGATCAGACCAGCAACTAACGAAATCCAAATTGCGAGACCGTACACTTTGGAAATTTTCATCAGAGTTTGAGGTTATTAGAGGGGCATGTACAGTGTTCACAACCTGAAGCGAGGCAACTATCGTACCAGTAGCGTAGAATTATCGTACATGGACCAAAATTGTCGTACTTTTCAAAATAATCACTATAATTAATAAATTAGTCGTATTAATCGTGATATCAATATTTCTGCGTATGCTTCGTAACTAATTTGTACTTATAAACTATTTACAATCTTTTTTAACTATATTTTTTACATTTGAGACAGACCTGAACTACCCCCACCCTTTAAATTAAAAATGAATAATAGATAGAAAAATACTTAAATATAACAAGATACAGGGAGTGGAGGTATGTTAGTGGGGTGTTTTTAACCTTAAGCTATGTTTAGTGACTACATGACTACAATCACAAAATTGTGGATGGGAAGACCATTGACCCAGTTACCTGCCGAGAAAAAACCTACATACTAGCATGATAAGGTTCTTTTGTTGCAGGCACGTTCTTCTAAACTTAACACTGCGAATAACAAAAATGTTTATAACACTGTGAGCAAAAAGAAAAAAAATATTCGCCCATAATAAAAAAAAGTCTTCGTGAGATTGTGAGGGTAAGAATAACACAAATTTTGAATGCATGAAAATTATCGTACAATCTGCGTACGATAATAATATGATATCGTACATCGTACGTAGACATGAAATTATGGTATGTGTACGATAATTATCGTACGGTTCCGAACACTGGGCATGTATCAACCGGTTTCTTTTTTTAAGAAAGGAATGAGGGAGAGTGAAAATATGGCAATGGTTTTTGTGTTTGTAGTTTCGTACAAAAATAACGTTAAAATTTTGATGATTATAATAAATCAACACAAGCGACATAAAGATGGATGTCTTGAGTAACCCATTCGAGATTCCTACGCTGAAATATACCCATGTGTGCGATTCAACGTTTAAAATCGATAAAACTATGATGATTGGTATGTTTATAAATCTGCTCTGTATGATTATTAATTTTATTGTTGTGTGTGAAGCAGCATTTGTAATATTTGAGATGCATTCAGTAGATGCGAGTTCGAAGTGGGTTAGGGAGGTGAGGCGGCTGGTCGTTTTCAGTCACCCTAATGGTTACCAGTAATTTTAACTTTATATTCAATGTCTACGTCCGGTTAAAGGATAATCCACTTAAAAGGGAGTGAGCCGTTATTATACTCTATTATTTTACTCATTCTTTAAGACCTGGATATATATAAGGAGCGTCCGTCAACAGACAGTACAGTGTACTTGGGATTTGTGTAATCTGAAGGATTAAAATCTGAACAATGAGCGACTTTATTTCCGTTATCGTGAGTTGTACGGGTTGAAAGTATAATATAATAGGGTACACGGGTACAGTAGGAAGAAGTTTTGTGGAAAGCCGGTGTGTGTGACTCTGGGAGTTCTTTTAAACCGAAGCGACGCGCAACGACCACGACAACGGCAATGGCATTCGTGAGCGAGAAACAATAAAAGTTTGGCATGCGGCATTTTGAAAGAGTGAACTACTTAGAAAAGTAAAGATTTTATAGCTAAAAGCTATTAAGAGGAGTTATAGCTTCGTGGAAAAATGCAATCGTCAGTTGAAATTGCAACTTTGATGAGTTTTGCGCCCTCTCTTAAATTGTTTGTTCGAGAGGAAGAAAGACGAAGTCGACCGTTAAGTGTGCGAGTGAGGTAGAGGTGAACGGTGAAAAAAGCTTGCACACTGTGTCAGCTAGCGTCTCGTATATAAAAAAAATCCGCATGTCTTCACGTTTTATGGGGGCACAACTGAGTTTATGACGGTAGCTGCAGCACTCCACTATCATTCCTAGACTTCACCGTCATCAAATCGGTGAGTGAAGTTCCGGTTGGTAATATAAAAGAAAGCCGCGCTTCTTTAATGTATTCGTACTTTTCTTGATTATTTCTTCAATATTTTCTTTAGATATGCTTTAATGGTCTTTTGAAAAACCTACTGTTGCTACTGAATAAAACCAATACATTTTACATTTCATGAATAGATTAGATGTACTAGGTGATACTTTCTTTTTCTTCTTTAAGTCTGGCTCAAGTGGGTACAAAACTTATTAATTAAATATGCCACCATTTCAAACACGTGTACTTGTTATCACTCATATGTCAATTGTAAAGCAAAATTTGATATTTGTTGGTTAAGTGTAGGCAAGGTGTGCATTCTTAAAAACTTAAGATAATCATCTTATAGTCGTCTATCCATTCGAAGACTGGCAGGACACGCATCTCCATTTCTTCCCATTCTGAGCAAACCTTAATTATCCCTTCATGTCGCAAAAGGTGTGCTACCATCGTTTTAGTAAGGGACATGGAGCTTGCATGAGAGTATCAATGAAAGTCAGTTGCCTGTTTGGACTTGACGCCAGGAAGGCTTTGTCACTTCACATGACTTTTTTCTGAAACCCTTTCCCTTAATTCGAGATCATGTGTTCCCCCTGTATATTTATTTGAGATTTCATTCATCCAGCTTCCTAAATATTTGGAATAGAGATTGTACTGTTTCGATTATTTCTTCATTTAATTCCTCGAATGGTAGAAACATATGATGGAGCTGGCATGAGAGCATTAATGAATATCAGTTGTCTGTTTGGATTTCACAGCAGGAAAGCTTTGACTCTTCACATAACTTTTTTTCTGAAATCCTTTCCCCTAATTAGAGATTCTGTGTTCCCCCTCCATATTTACTTGAGATTTCATTTATCCAGCTTTCTAAATATTTGTAATAAAAATTGTACGGTAAAGGTCTAGATGATGGGTGGATCGAAAGAGGAGGCCTCCCCAATCACTGTACCATAAAAAGTTCGTGGCGGTCTCATCCCCATAAAAAATTACGTTGGTTCAAGGTTAATAAATATGCCAATGTTTATACATTTCTAGGCATGTAAATATTTATATAGCCATTCTTAAACAATATTCAAAGGTAAAACTAATGAAAACTACATAAAAATATTGAGAAAGTTACATAAAACATTATTTAAATATCTTTATCAGTAGGGTAAATTAGGTTAGGTTATCGGGTTTTGTTCAAGCGACCACCCTCTTTCGATCCCCCACCTCCACCCGCTTGAAAATATTTTTTTTATTGAATTTTATTTGAATTATAGTGTATGAAAATTGTCAAAATAATCGAATTTCAACCCCTATAACTTTTTATGGGGGTGAGACCGCTGTAAATTTTTTATGGGGTTTTACTTAGTTGACCACCCTCTTTCGATCCCCTTACCCTCTTTCGATCCCCCCTACCCCTAGCCCCATCTAACCCCCATAACTTTGTATGGGACTGAAACCGCCACGAACTTTTTATGGTACAGTGGTGGGGGAGACCTCCTCTTTAGATACCACCCACTCCCACCCCCGAAGGAGGTGGGCGCCATCATCTAGACATTTACCAAATTGTACTCTTTCGATTATTTCGTTATTTAATTCCTCGAATGGTGGAGACATGGAGCTTGCATGAGAACATCAATGAATGTCAGTTGCTTGTTTAGATTTGACAGCAGGAAGGCTTTGCCTCCATACATGTCATTTTTTTTTTAATCCTTTCCGTTAATTCGAGATTCTGTGTTCCCCCTGTATATTTATTAGCTCCAGTATTACAATGACTTGTGTACCACGACAGCTGCGTTAATTGATAATGTCCTTTGTGTGCCAGTAGCAATGGCGGTTGTTACATACACAAACGTACGCCAATACATATATTAGTTTGATGGCTGTATGAGTATATAGTTTGTTACCTGCAAGTAGATATTATTCGAACTTGCATTTGAACACGGCAACAAATAATACATACATTTACATGATACATACATACATACATACATATCTGTACGTATGTTATTGTATACGTTCGTAAATTGTATTGTCGGTGATTAGTAGTGCATGTTATCCGTTATTTCTCCAGGGTTTTATTTTGAAATTGGGTTTATCGGCTGCAATTTCGTTCGGCGTTTAAAACACACGTACAACGCCAACGGTCCCGATAAATATCACCGTTGTCATAACTTTGTTACCGTGTTAATCAAGTGAACATGCGAATATTTTAGACTGATGGCGCAGCTTTTTCCGCTACGAACTTTTTTTTACCTCT